TATCTTCTGACACTAATTGCATTTCACTTTCAAAGGCAGCTTCTTCTCTCGTGGTCACAGCTGCATCACTGACCTCTTCAGAAAGGTCATCCTTTGAGTCAATAATTGGCATGATGTCATCTTCACAACACGGTTGTTCAGTTTCAGTGATTTCCCCAATAGCTTCTTGTTCAAAATCTCCTTCTTGTGTATCAATGATTTCTGCCATATCATCATATGTGCTTGGTTGAACCTTTCTCTTCCTCGTCGTCTTCTGAGACACCTTCATAGGTAGCAGTTGTTGAAACATCTTCAGGGACCATTAGCGTTTCACTTTCACATACTGTTTCCTCTGGCATAGTAAACGTTTCTTCAATGACCTCTTGCAAATCTACATCCTTTGGTTCAAGGAAATCTGCTGTTTCATCTTCAGAAACTGGCTTTTCAATTGTAGTTATTTTATCAATATCTTCATGTTCAGAAGCTTTTGATGGCGTTTCAATGATCTTTTCCAGGTCAGCATCTACGGTTGACCGCACAACTTCTATTTTCTCAAAGTCTCCTGAGACACCTTCATATGCAGCAGCTGTTGACACATCTTCAGACACCAATTGTGTTTCACTTTCACTATTGTTTGCTCTCGCATAGTCACAGTTTCTTCAATTATTTGTTCCGAATCTGCCTCTTTTACTTCAACTATTTGCACGATATCATCTTCAGAAGTTGGCTTTTCAATTTCAATGATTTGTGCTATAGCTTCATGTTCAGTAGCCTGATCTGTTGTTTGATCGATCTGTTCCAAATCAGCTTCTGTGATACCTGTAGCCACAGGTACTACCTCAACGTCTTGCAAGACATCTTTGTACGGAGCAGTTGTTGAGACATCTTCCGACACTAATTGCATTTCACCTTCACGAACATCTTCTTCTCTTGTGGTCACAGTTGCATCACTGACCTCTTGAGAAAGGTCATCCTTTGAGTCAATAATTGGCATGATGTCATCTTCACAACACGGTTGTTCAGTTTCAGTGATTTCTCTTCCCCAATACTTCGTGGTCAAAATCTCCTTGTGTATCAATGATCTCTGCTATATCATCAAAGGTGCTTGTTTAACCACTTCTCTTATCTCGGTCGTCTTCTGAGACACCTTCATACGGAGCAGTTGTTGAAACATCTTTGGGGACCATTAGCGTTTCACTTCCATGTACTGCTTCCTCTGGCATAGTAAACGTTTCTTCAAATGACCTCTTGCGAATCTACATCCTTTGGTTCAAGGAAATCTGCTGTTTTCATTTTCCAGAAACTGGCTTTTCAATTGTAGTTATTTTATCAATAGCTTCGTGTTCAGAAACTTTTGATGGCGTTTCAATGATCGTTTCCACTCAGTATCTATGGTTGACGGCGCAATTCTATTTTCTCAAAGTCTCCTGAGACAACCTTCATATGCAGCAACTGTTGACCCATCTTCAGACACCATTGTGTTTCAGTTTCAACTATTGTTGCTCTCGTATAGTCAACAGTTGCTTCATTATTTGTTCAGAATCTGCCTCTTCTACTTCATCTATTTGCACGTATCATCTTCAGAAATTGGCTTTCAAATTCAAATTATCTGTGCTATAGCTTCATGTTCAGTAGCCTGATCTGTTAGTTTTACCGATCTGTTCCAAATCAGCTTCTGTGAGACCTGTAGCCACAGGTACTACCTCAACCACTTGCAAGACATCTTTGTACAGAGCAGTTGTTGAGACATCCTTCAACACTAATTGCATTTCACTTTCAGAATAGCTTCTTCTCTTGTGGTCACAGTTGCATCACTGACCTCTTGATAAAGGTCATCCTTTGAGTCAATAATTGGCATGCTGTCATCTTCACAACATGGTTGTTCAGGTTCAGTGATTTCCCCAATAGCTTTTGTTCATAATCTCCATCTTGTGTATCAATGATCTCTGCGACATCATCATATGTGCTTGGTTTAACCACTTCTCCTATCTCGTCGTCTTCTGAGACACCTTCATACGGAGCAGTTGTTGAAACATCTTCGGTGACCATTAGCGTTTCACTTTCACGTACTGTTCCTTCTGGCATAGTAAACGTTTCTTCAATGACCTCTTGCGAATCTACATCCTTTGGTTCAAGGAAATCTGCTGTTTCATCTTCAGAAACTGGCTTTTCAATTGTAGTTATTTTATCAAAAGCTTCGTGTTCAGAAGCTTTGGATGGCGTTTCAATGATCGTTTCCAGGTCAGTATCTTTGGTTGACCGCACAATTTCTATTTTCTCCAAGTCTCCTGAGACACCTTCATATGCAGCAGCTGTTGACATATCTTCTGACACAAATTGCTTTTCACTTTCAAGGACAGCCGTGGTCACAGTTGTATCACTGACCTCTTCAGGAAGGTCCTCCTTTGAATTAATGATTGAAATGATGTCAACTTCACAACACGCTTGTTCAGGTTCAGTGATTTCCCCAATAGCTTCTTGTACAAAATCTCCATCTTGTGTATCAATGATCTCTGCTTTATCTTCATATGCTTTTGATTTAACCACTTCTCCTATTTCGTCGTCGTCTGAGACACCTTCATAGGTAGCAGTTGTTGAAACATCTTCAGGGACCATTAGCGTTTCACTTCACATACTGTTTCCTCTGGCATAGTAAACGTTTCTTCAATGACCTCTTGCAAATCTACATCCTTTGGTTCAAGGATTTCTTCTATTTCATCTTCAGAAATTGGCTTTTCAATGTCAGTGATTTCATAAATAGCTTCACGATCAGGAGCTTTTCCTGGGGTTTCAATTTTCTTTTCCAAGTCAACTTCTTTGACACCTTCATTTGCAGCAGCTCTTAAAACATCTCCAGACACCAATTGTGTTTCACTTTCAACTATTGTTTGCTCTCGCTTGGTCACAGTTTCTTCAATTATATGTTCAGAATCTGCCTCTTTTCCTTCAACTATTTCACGATATCATCTTCAGAAATTGGGCTGATCATCAGAAATTGGCTGAACATCAATTTCACTTTCCTTCTCATCAACTATCTCCAAGAACACTACACCTGAGGGTGTTTGCTCATCATTACAGAGCATTAGCATCTGGTTAGCGTTAGCCAATCTCATGGCATCTAAACTGGCATTAAACAGTATTCCCTGCCCAGCAGGTCCAAATTCTAGTTTTTCCACTGGTTCATAAAAACATTCAACACGTGCTTTGCTGTCAACAGCTATAGGGAGTGTTGGGGTTCCCACCTCCACATTTTTTATCTCAATTCCTTGCATTACTTTTCATATGACCATGAGTCAACTTCAATTGCAGCAGTCGTTGAAAAATCTCCAAACACACAATTGCGTTTCACTTTCAAGGACAGCCGTGGTCACAGTTGTATCACTGACCTCTTCAGGAAGGTCCTCCTTTGAGTCAATGATTGAAATGATCTCATCTTCACAACACGGTTGTTCAGGTTCAGTGATTTCCCCAATAGCTTCTTGTTCAAAATCTCCATCTTGTGTATCAATGATCTCTGCTATATCATCATATGTGCTTTGTTTAACCACTTCTTTTATCTCGTCATCTTCTGAAAAACCTTCATATGGAGCAGTTGTTGAAACATCTTCAGGGACCAATAACGGTTCACTTTCAGCTATTGTTTGCTCTAGCATGGTCACAGTTTCTTCATTTATTTGATCAGAATCTGCCTCTTTTACTTCAACTATTTGCACGGTATCATCTTCATAAATTGGCTTTTCAATTTCAGTGATCTGTTCTATAGCTGCATGCTCAGCAGCCTCATCTGGTGTTATACCCATCTGTTCCAAATCAGCTTCTGTGATACCTGGAGCCACAGGTACTGCCTCAACGTCTTGCAAGACATCTTTGTACGGAGCAGTTGTTGAGATATCTTCTGACACTAATTGCATTTCACTTTCAAAGGCAGCTTCTTCTCTCGTGGTCACAGCTGCATCACTGACCTCTTCAGAAAGGTCATCCTTTGAGTCAATAATTGGCATGATGTCATCTTCACAACACGGTTGTTCAGTTTCAGTGATTTCCCCAATAGCTTCTTGTTCAAAATCTCCTTCTTGTGTATCAATGATTTCTGCCATATCATCATATGTGCTTGGTTGAACCTCTTCTCCTATCTCGTCGTCTTCTGAGACACCTTCATAGGTAGCAGTTGTTGAAACATCTTCAGGGACCATTAGCGTTTCACTTTCACATACTGTTTCCTCTGGCATAGTAAACGTTTCTTCAATGACCTCTTGCAAATCTACATCCTTTGGTTCAAGGAAATCTGCTGTTTCATCTTCAGAAACTGGCTTTTCAATTGTAGTTATTTTATCAATATCTTCATGTTCAGAAGCTTTTGATGGCGTTTCAATGATCTTTTCCAGGTCAGCATCTACGGTTGACCGCACAACTTCTATTTTCTCAAAGTCTCCTGAGACACCTTCATATGCAGCAGCTGTTGACACATCTTCAGACACCAATTGTGTTTCACTTTCAACTATTGTTTGCTCTCGCATAGTCACAGTTTCTTCAATTATTTGTTCCGAATCTGCCTCTTTTACTTCAACTATTTGCACGATATCATCTTCAGAAGTTGGCTTTTCAATTTCAATGATTTGTGCTATAGCTTCATGTTCAGTAGCCTGATCTGTTGTTTGATCGATCTGTTCCAAATCAGCTTCTGTGATACCTGTAGCCACAGGTACTACCTCAACGTCTTGCAAGACATCTTTGTACGGAGCAGTTGTTGAGACATCTTCCGACACTAATTGCATTTCACCTTCACGAACATCTTCTTCTCTTGTGGTCACAGTTGCATCACTGACCTCTTGAGAAAGGTCATCCTTTGAGTCAATAATTGGCATGATGTCATCTTCACAACACGGTTGTTCAGTTTCAGTGATTTCCCCAATAGCTTCGTGTTCAAAATCTCCTTGTGTATCAATGATCTCTGCTATATCATCAAATGTGCTTGGTTTAACCACTTCTCTTATCTCGTCGTCTTCTGAGACACCTTCATACGGAGCAGTTGTTGAAACATCTTTGGGGACCATTAGCGTTTCACTTCCATGTACTGCTTCCTCTGGCATAGTAAACGTTTCTTCAATGACCTCTTGCGAATCTACATCCTTTGGTTCAAGGAAATCTGCTGTTTCATTTTCAGAAACTGGCTTTTCAATTGTAGTTATTTTATCAATAGCTTCGTGTTCAGAAACTTTTGATGGCGTTTCAATGATCGTTTCCAGCTCAGTATCTATGGTTGACGGCGCAAATTCTATTTTCTCAAAGTCTCCTGAGACACCTTCATATGCAGCAACTGTTGACCCATCTTCAGACACCAATTGTGTTTCAGTTTCAACTATTGTTTGCTCTCGTATAGTCACAGTTTCTTCAATTATTTGTTCAGAATCTGCCTCTTCTACTTCATCTATTTGCACGATATCATCTTCAGAAATTGGCTTTTCAAATTCAATTATCTGTGCTATAGCTTCATGTTCAGTAGCCTGATCTGTTGTTTTACCGATCTGTTCCAAATCAGCTTCTGTGAGACCTGTAGCCACAGGTACTACCTCAACCACTTGCAAGACATCTTTGTACAGAGCAGTTGTTGAGACATCCTTCAACACTAATTGCATTTCACTTTCAAGAATAGCTTCTTCTCTTGTGGTCACAGTTGCATCACTGACCTCTTGATAAAGGTCATCCTTTGAGTCAATAATTGGCATGCTGTCATCTTCACAACATGGTTGTTCAGGTTCAGTGATTTCCCCAATAGCTTTTGTTCATAATCTCCATCTTGTGTATCAATGATCTCTGCGACATCATCATATGTGCTTGGTTTAACCACTTCTCCTATCTCGTCGTCTTCTGAGACACCTTCATACGGAGCAGTTGTTGAAACATCTTCGGTGACCATTAGCGTTTCACTTTCACGTACTGTTCCTTCTGGCATAGTAAACGTTTCTTCAATGACCTCTTGCGAATCTACATCCTTTGGTTCAAGGAAATCTGCTGTTTCATCTTCAGAAACTGGCTTTTCAATTGTAGTTATTTTATCAAAAGCTTCGTGTTCAGAAGCTTTGGATGGCGTTTCAATGATCGTTTCCAGGTCAGTATCTTTGGTTGACCGCACAATTTCTATTTTCTCCAAGTCTCCTGAGACACCTTCATATGCAGCAGCTGTTGACATATCTTCTGACACAAATTGCTTTTCACTTTCAAGGACAGCCGTGGTCACAGTTGTATCACTGACCTCTTCAGGAAGGTCCTCCTTTGAATTAATGATTGAAATGATGTCAACTTCACAACACGCTTGTTCAGGTTCAGTGATTTCCCCAATAGCTTCTTGTACAAAATCTCCATCTTGTGTATCAATGATCTCTGCTTTATCTTCATATGCTTTTGATTTAACCACTTCTCCTATTTCGTCGTCGTCTGAGACACCTTCATAGGTAGCAGTTGTTGAAACATCTTCAGGGACCATTAGCGTTTCACTTTCACATACTGTTTCCTCTGGCATAGTAAACGTTTCTTCAATGACCTCTTGCAAATCTACATCCTTTGGTTCAAGGAAATCTGCTGTTTCATCTTCAGAAACTGGCTTTTCAATTGTAGTTATTTTATCAATATCTTCATGTTCAGAAGCTTTTGATGGCGTTTCAATGATCTTTTCCAGGTCAGCATCTACGGTTGACCGCACAACTTCTATTTTCTCAAAGTCTCCTGAGACACCTTCATATGCAGCAGCTGTTGACACATCTTCAGACACCAATTGTGTTTCACTTTCAACTATTGTTTGCTCTCGCATAGTCACAGTTTCTTCAATAATATGTTCCGAATCTGCCTCTTTTACTTCAACTATTTGCACGATATCATCTTCAGAAGTTGGCTTTTCAATTTCAATGATTTGTGCTATAGCTTCATGTTCAGTAGCCTGATCTGTTGTTTGATCGATCTGTTCCAAATCAGCTTCTGTGATACCTGTAGCCACAGGTACTACCTCAACGTCTTGCAAGACATCTTTGTACGGAGCAGTTGTTGAGACATCTTCCGACACTAATTGCATTTCACTTTCAAAGGCAGCTTCTTCTCTCGTGGTCACAGCTGCATCACTGACCTCTTCAGAAAGGTAATCCTTAGAGTCAATAAATGGCATTATGTCATCGTCACAAAACGGTTGTTCAGGATCAGTGATTTCCCCAATAGCTTCTTGTTCAAAATCTCCTTGTGTATCAATGATCTCTGCTATATCATCATATGTGCTTGGTTTAACCACTTCTCTTATCTCGTCGTCTTCTGAGACACCTTCATACGGAGCAGTTGGTGAAACATCTTCAGAGACCATTGGCGTTTCACTTCCATGTACTGTTTCCTCTGGCATAGTAAACGTTTCTTCAATGACCTCTTGCGAATCTACATCCTTTGGTTCAAGGATTTCTGCTGTTTCATCTTCAGAAATTGGCTTTTCAATTGTAGTTATTTTCTCAATAACTTCACGTTCAGAAGCTTTTGATGGCGTTTCAATGATCGTTTCCAGGTCAGTATCTTTGGTTGACCGCATAATTTTTATTTTCTCCAAGTCTCCTGAGACACCTTCATATGCAGCAGCTGTTGAAACATCTTCTGACACTAATTGCATTTCACTTTCAAGGACAGCCGTGGTCACAGTTGTATCACTGACCTCTTCAGGAAGGTCCTCCTTTGAGTCAATGATTGAAATGATGTCAACTTCACAACACGCTTGTTCAGGTTCAGTGATTTCCCCAATAGCTTCTTGTACAAAATCTCCATCTTGTGGATCAATGATCTCTGCTATATCTTCATGTGTTTTTGATTTAACCACTTCTCCTATTTCGTCGTCGTCTGAGACACCTTCATACGTAGCAGTTGTTGAAACATCTTCAGGGACCATTAGCGTTTCAATTTCACGTACAGTTTCCTCTGGCATAATAAACGTTTCTTCAATGACCTCTTGCGAATCTACATCCTTTGGTTCAAGGATTTCTTCTATTTCATCTTCAGAAATTGGCTTTTCAATGTCAGTGATTTCATAAAT